ATACCAATTATTATCTATAAAATATAGAATTATATTCGAAATCAAAGGCAAAAACAATACTTGTTGAGAATTAATTTGTAGAGAACCAACCGATAAACTGGCTGAATTATTGCTTTTTGCTTGATTTGATAAATCATAATACATTATATTTAAAAACATCGAAATAAAAAATAAAACAAAACAACATGTACATCGTTGAACACGTGTAAATTGATTTGATGGTGGACGAGAAAATATTGAAAACCATAAATGACCATCAGATACACTATAATATGTACGTTTTGATAATACGTAAGAAAAATTACTTTTCTCCATTTCACTTGCAACTGGTAAAATTCGTTCAATCTATGAAGAAAATCATATTAAAAGTGAATATAATAAAGAACTAAATTACTTTTCCATCATCTTTTTCAACTGCAAACCAACGTTGAGAAATAAAATAAAATTTCTCCATTGTTTGTAAATCACGAATAATTATATATTTAAGAAACCATGATGATGATGAACCTTTACCTGTATTATCATGCCATATACGAATACAATTTAATAATCCCAATGATCTAAAATTCATCTTTTCATCTTAATTAAATGATTGAAAAATGTAATTTTACTTTGGAACACTCATTACAAATGCATCAACACCACCACGTTGTAAAATTCGTCGATGAGGATCAGAAAATGTTCGAATGCGTGTTGTATCATCATCACCATGAATCACAAAATGAACCTATTATATACTTTTAACAATACAAATATCTTTCTTCTTTCAAAACTTACATTTGAATTGGTTCCGGCATCTGTTCTTTGACCAGTAAAAACAATAATTTCATATAAATATTCATCTGATTGATGATTATCAGGTAATGGTGTTACTCCTAATTTTTCAAGATCTTTTTTATCTTTCCAACGTGCATAAATTATTAAGATAATGTAAATTACCGATACGCAGATAATTGTTAAGTAAATCGTTTTATTTCTCATAAAATCAGCATTGGCAAAAACATAATTCCAATTAACAGATTGAGGTAAAATTTGAAAACCACTAGAAAATGTTGTTAAATGAGTTGAAAAACATTGAGTTTCATAATAATTTGTGTTTCGTCCAACTGTTAATCCATCCGATTTCCATTGATTATTTTGATCGAGATAATAACAACCCGATGTATAAATTCGAACTTCATAATTTTCTGTAAAATTAAATCTTTCATTTGTTATTGGAGGAGTTAAAGTTGAAGAATTAAAACAATAATCATTATTTTCAGTTGTATTTAATTCTCGTAACCCAAATATAATTGATTGATGACCGGATGTTTGTTGATTATCAATAAAATATGTATACATACTTTCATTTGTTAAATTGAACGGGCAAAATACAGTCCATCCATCAATAATATTTATTGAAGTATTTAATTGAGGTATTTGATCAAATTTATAAATAAATAAATAGGAAATATTTGTTTCTAATGGATGAATTTCAATATGAACTGAAACCGAAAGTGTATTTGTGATATTAATATAATGGAAAGAAAATAATTGGTTATGCGGTGCAGAATCTATTGATGATGTTACATTTTGAATAATCATTGATGGAATGATTACATTTGGATCACGAGGAATTATAATTTCAATTGGATCTGTTGAATCTGTATTAATTAAAACTTCATTTCCATTACGATCAACAACAGAAAGTGATATAGATCTCGAAAGATTTGTATTTGCTGTTTGTATTTTTAAACTACCCAATGGAGCAAGTGGTTCCATCCTTGACTAAATATTCAATAATAAAAGAAATATAATTAACAAAATACTAGGGATCTACCAAGCCCAAGAGGAGGGTCGGGCTCGGGTGTGGGTGAAAATGTGAGTGAGAGTGAAAAGGATAGTACCCGGACTCTAGGGACCTGCACGGAGTCATTTTCGGAGTCGCCGTCGAAGTCAAGTAAGTTTCATGTTGGTAATTCCATTTTAACGTTAAAAATTATTTAAGTTCATAGTTTTGTTGTTCGACATTTTCATTATAAAATTACGTATTTTGAAGGATCGGCAGACGTCTTATCGAGTCTCACAAAACCAAAATAAAATGCAGAAAAAGTCGGAGTCGAAAGTGAATCTGACTTTTCTTGACTCCGATTTTCTTTTGTGTTGGCGAGGTTCAACAAAGCATCGATCTATCCTTCAAAATACATAATTTTGTAGAGAAAATGTCGGACAACAAAACTATGAACTTAAGTAATTTTTAACGTTAAAGTTGAATTATTGACATGAAATTTACTTGACTCCGACGGCGACTCCGAGAATGACCTCGTGCAGGTCTCTACCGCACTCCCTACACCCGCCCGAGAGACTCGGTACAACCCTACAAAATACAGTACACTTACTCGAAGTGAAACTGTTGAATTATCACTTATGTTTGACTTGAAATTTTTTGGAATATTAATTCGAGCATTTCCAACTTGTTGAACTTGTTTATTTGAAAGAGATTTCATTGATACAGTTTCTAGTGACATAAATGTTGATGATGTATTTATTATTAAATTTTGACCAATATTTAATTGAATATTTGATATAGAAGTTAGTAATGATAGAATTTGATTCACTTTAGTGGTAACTTGATTTGCTAATTGTTTTTGATAATAGGTATTTCGACCTTTTTGTATTGTTTCCCATGAAAAATCATTTCCATCAGAAAATAAATCTAAATAGATTCAATAGAGAAATGGGTTATTTAATCATATATTTAATATTACTTGGATTTGACCAGGCGGATTCAAGATCTGTATCATAATCCGTCGGAAATGCTGTTGCACGTGATGAATCTAAATCCAATATATCTGTTCGTTGTTGTAGTGGACCATTAACAGCCTGAATGAAAAAAATATCAATTGTCGTTCTATTATTAAGGAAAATATCTTACAGTTAAAATATTCGTTGCACATTGAATCAGTTGAGTTGTGATTATTTGAACATCTTCATATGAAATTCTTGTTACAATTGAATATAAAGCAAGAGATAATTGATAACATTTATCTAATGCAAGTGTCTATTTTTATTTAGAAGAATTTAAACTATATAAGAAGAAGAAGAAAAACGAATATTTATTTTCTTACTAAAGCAGTTCGTGTCAATTGATTTGTTGCTTGAGTTAATTGAGCTAATGATGATGCTTGTAATTTTATATTATTTGATGTTGAAATATCAAGATTAGTTGTAAATGTCATTAAATATTCTCGAAGATTTGCATGAGAATTTAAGTCTTTTTTATATTGAATTAAAGCTGTTGCATTCAATGGAGTAGAATTCTATTTAACAAAAAACGATTTTAATAAAATGAAATAAAGTATCGAAGAAAATTACTCCTTGTGAAGTTGTACTTCCTAATTGAGATACAGAAATACTTGCAGCTGGTATTCCGCCTAGAAAAAAAAATTCTCTTAGTATAACAAGATGTTTTCGAATTAAACTTACTTGAAACAGCTTGATCAATCGCGTCACTATTCATTTTATTAGATTGTTGCGAAAGACAACCTACAATTTGTCCAATAATATTTTGATTTCCACTTGAAAGTAATTGAATAGTTGGATTATTTGCTAATGCATTCGATGAACTTTGTAAATTATTTAATAAATTCGTAATTCCTAACGTATCTGGTAGAACATTAATAGATGACATGTTATATTCTGTAATACAATCAAGAGTGTCACGAATTTGAACTATAAGATGAAGTAATGATGTTTGATCATCTCCGGAAGGTAATCGAACTTGAAATATTGACACGGATGAAAATGAAATAAACGTTCGTTCTTGTGGATCTGCTGTCCAAGCTAAATAAATAGAAATATTTTTTAATAGTTCATATAGAGTGTGGGTGTGAATATTGTCTTCATTAGAACGCGTATGTATCTGACTCAAAAGTAATCAAATCAGTGGAGAAATTTCTCATACCGTAAATTGAATAATCTTTAATTCCATCTTCATCAAACCAATTTGAACATGAAATATTAAATGAAGTACTTGTTGTACCATTATAAGGACTAATTGAACATGAGCCGTTTATCGGAGGGTGATTGATTACAAAATTTAATGCACTTGAACTTGCTTGTAATGTAAATCCATAAATAACTTGAAATCGCCAAAGATTAATTTGAGGATTATTGAGAAATAGTTGATTCAATGCAGTAAAATTACTTGTATTCCATCCTAAATTAATCAATAGGATAATTAACCAAAAATAGAAAAAATAATTTTACCAAAAAACCAAATATTTTCATAGATATTCATTTGATTGAACAAAGTCCATTGGGTAGAGTTTGAAGATATATTTGTTGTACCCTGATAAATATTCCATGTTGTATTTTGAATATTGTCGCAATCTCCAATACATAAAGAAAATAAAGCAACTTGTGTTGTTGGATTAACAAGTTGAAATTCCAAATTTGGAGTACACATTGTCCAAATAACACAACTAAATCAAATAAATGTATCATTAAATTATATTAAAACATAGTTTAAGGTGTATGGGCTAAGAGAAGATAGATATCCACACTCTCCTATCTTAAATTAATCAGCTACAAAATTATTATCGATACTGCAACGCGTCTATAAGTCGATTATCTCTATGTCAAAAGTAAGAATATATAGAATTACGAGAACCGAAAAATGTATTTTAATCTAAATGAATGCTTAATATAATTCTCATAAAAGATAATATACCCAACGGCAATCATTTGTGAATCAATAGTTCCAACTGTAACAAGTACATAGCCAGTTGCTTGAGTAGAAGAATTTTGTCGATTTTCCATATAAACCATAAATTGATATGTTTGATTTGGTTG